GGGATAATTGGGATGGGAGTGTCAGAGACAGTGCGATTGGCACAGGACAGAGCGGAGTTTAGGGCTGTTGTACATAGGGTCGCTATGAGTCGCAGGTGACTCAACGGCACATAACAACAACAACAACAACAATTTAATCTGGGTGCTGAACAAATCATTCAAGAAGCTATACTCCATAAAGAAGAATGTGGCATCAGGATAACATACATTATATAAAACAATCTTGCTTGTTATAAGTTAGGAAAACTTGAAATACTTGCTACAGAAGATCAAGGACTACAGCCTTCAATATGGATTGCATCCCAACATCAAGAAGACAAAAATCTTCACCACTGGGCTGATAAGCAACATCATGATAGATAGAGAAAAGATTGAAATTGTCAATGATTTCATATTACTTAGGTCTACAATCAATACTCTTGGTACCAGTAGTCAGGAGATCAAGAGACATATTGCATTGGGCAAGTCCACCATCAGGAACCTTCTGAAACTACTAAGGAGCAATGATGTCAGCTTAAAGACTACACCTGATTCAGGCCATGATCTTTTCAGTCACTTGCTATGTGTTTGAGAACTGGACTATGACTAAGGATGGTAGAAAAAGAATTGATGCCTTTGACCTGTGGTATTGGAGAAGATGGCCTGCCAAAAGAACAAACAGATATGCCTTCGAGAAAGTGTAGCTAGTGTGATTCGTGGAGGCAAGGATGGCAAAGCTTTGTTTCATATGCTTTGTTGGGAAGGGTGGAGGGCTGGAGGAGAAGAAGACCTCCAATGAGATGGACTGACACAGTGACAGCAACACTTGGCTCTAGTATGTCAGAGATGATGAGGATGGCCCAGGACAGGATCTGTTGTTCACAGGGTTGCTTATGAGTCATATCTGACTTGATGGCACCTAAAACAATAGTGGTTGGTGCTTTCCCTGTGGAAAACTGCTGGATTAGAAGATCTCGATGTCTGCTAGCTTGATTTTTCGCTTGTTTATATTAATATGATGATTTTTGGTGAAAATATACACAGTAATGGATACACCATCTCAATAAATGATCCACCATCTCAACAACAACAACAAAATAGACACTATCAACACTCTTAAACCAAGTGGTAGAGCCTATGTCTTGTTGTTGTTGTTGTTATGTGCCGTCGAGTCATTTGCGACTCATAGCGACCCTATGCACAACAGCCCTAAACCCTGCTCTATCCTGCGCCAACCGCACTGCCTCTGACACACCCATCCCGATTACCCCAGTCACCGAATCAATCCATCTCATAGAGGGTCTTCCGCTCCTGCGCTGTCCCTCCACCCTCCCAAGCATGATGTCCCTCTCCAAGGACCCGTCCCTCCTGGCAACATGTCCAAAGTATGTCAGACAAAGCCCCAGAATCCTTGCCTCCAAGGAGTAGCTTGGTTTAATCCTCTCCAAGATGAATCTGTTTGTTTTCCTGGCAGTCCATGGTACATTCAGTACTCTTCTCCAGCACCACAGCTCAAAAGCATCCACTCTCCTTCTGTCCTCCCTAGTCATTGTCCAACTCTCTGATGCATAACAAGCGATTGCAAAGACCATGGCCTGTATCAGGCGCACCTTAGTCTCCAGAGAGACACCTTTGTTCCTGAGTACTTTAGAGAGGTCCCTAACAGCAGACTTTCCAATCGCAATACGCTTTTTGATTTCCTGACTGCTGGTGCCAAGAGTGTTGACTGTGGAGCAGAGCAAACTGAAGCTGTGAACAATCTCAATCTCTTTGCCATCCATCCTGACGCTGCCAGTTGGTCCAGTGGTGAGAATCTTTGTCTTCTTGACACTGAGCCCCAGTCCATACTGAAGGCTGCAGTCCCTGACCCTACACAGCAAGTGCATGAGGTCCTCCTCAGTTTCAGCAAGCAGGGATGTGTCATCTGCATAATGCAGATTGTTAATAGATCTTCCACCAATCCTGATGCCACAATTCTCTTCATAGAGCCCAGCTTCTCGGATAATCTGCTCTGCATACATGTTGAAAAGGTATGGAGACAGGATGCATCCCCGGCGTACACCCTTCCCAATTTTGAAGCATGCAGTGTTACCCTGCTCTGTTCTGACTACTGCCTCTTGATCCAAGTACAGGTTTCGCATTAGCACAATTAAATGTTCTGGGATTCCCATTCTTCTCAGAGTCAGCCACAGTTTGTTATGATCCACACAGTCAAATGCCTTTGCATAATCAATGAAACACAGATAGACACTCTTCTGGTATTCTCTGCTTCCAGCTAAGATCCATCTAACATCAGCTACAATATCCCTAGTACCATGACCCCTTCTAAACCTAGCCTGGACTTCTGGTAATTCTCTGCTGATGCGCTGTTCCAGTCGTTTTTGGATAATCTTCAGTAGATTCTTGCTTGCAAGTGAAATCAGTGAGATTGTTCTGTAGTTTCCACACTCAGTTGGGTCGCCCTTCTTTGGAATGGGAACAAACATAGATCTCTTCCAGTCAGTTGGCCAAGTGGTTGTTCTCCAGATTTCTTGGCACAACTTGGTGAGCACATCCAGGGCAGCATCTGTTAGCTGAAAATACTTCAATAGGTATACCATCTATTCCTGGGGCCTTATTTTTTGCTATTCCTTCAAAGCAGCTTGAACTTCTTCCTTCATCACCAGAGGCTCTTGCTCATATGTTATTTCATTAAATTCTTCTGTATCTGTCAATTCCTTTTGATACAATGACTCAGAATATTCCTTCCATCTTCTTTTAATACTACCTGGATCATTTAATATTCTGCCTAAAGCATCTAGGAGTATTAAGAGACAATAAAATGACAGATGTTTCATAGGCCATAAAATCTGGAGTGAATGATTCTAAAGCAATAGATAGTTAGAACACCTCTTAAGTTACAGAAATTGCTCTTTCAATTTCCTTATGCCAGTTCACAAGGGTAGGATGCAGACAGGGAACAAAGCATCCTTGCCCTCACAGAGCTTTCTCTAGTTGCAGATAGAGACAGTAACAAAAAAAAATGTGCAAATAAACAATCCTGTCTGGTAATAAAGTACTCTGGTTTAAAAACAAACAAACAAAACACAAATAAAAAAGCCCTAAGACAATAAACCAGGAGGAGATGAGAAGTGATATGTGTTGGCTGGCGTGCTGCCATGTGCAGGTGCTCCAGGAAGGGTACAAGAAGAGACTGGAAGAATGGGAAAAGGTGAGCTATTCAGATTTTTAAAGTGCTTGATATGCATGGAAAAAGTATACCAGGGCCACAGATTAGAGTGTGCTTGAGGGATAGCAATGAGGCCAACGTGGGTGTCACAAAGTGTCAAAGCAAAGCTGAGACACAACACAGAGTACCAGACATACGTGGTAGGCACTGTATGGCAGCAATGTGGCTTAAATGGACTTCCTCCTGTCCATCAGCCTTCCAATGAAATGCAAGCTTCAGAGGTTTCACCTACATGAAGGGTAATCACTTTTCTTTCAGAGAGTTATATGTTCATCCTGGCTATTATAAGGTCCAATCATGAAACTTAACCCAGGAGTGCATGGTTTCTTGACATTACATGTAAATTTTGGTATGTTTTCATATATTCCTGTAAAGGGGATTTATTACTTTCTATTATATCTCATACAGGTCTCTAATCCTTTAAAAGGACAGAGCTTTAGGGGAACTCTGGTGGCCTAGTGGCAAGAAGCTGTGCTGCAATCCCAAGGGCATGTGGTTCGAATTCACCAGATGCTTTGGTGGAGGAGGGGCAATCTCTTCCTGTGCCAATTGAATCTGATTCGATGGTACACAAGAGGGGAAAAATAAAAAAAAAGGCCAGAGCTCTGTAGGCGTCAAAGGAAATAGTGAGACTTCTGAGAGTTAATATGGGCCTGCTGAAAGGACCAAAGCTGGCTGCAATCAGTGCCAATCCAAATCTGTTACCAAGTCACAGCAAGACAGAAGAAAGGTTAGTATGACTGCCCATGAGCAGCATGCTGACCTCTACTTGGGCTCAAGAGCTTCAATGCATCATGCCCTACAAACAGCACATAACTTTGAGCAGAACTGTTTCTCCACTAGAATCACAGTCCCTTGAATATTCTCTCAAGGATGTCTCCTGTGCAAAATATAATCCAGACTTGAGACTATATTTTTGTCAGAAGATGAACTGTAGTCAAATAAAACAGTGAAAAGTATTATATTTACTTACTGTTTCTAAAGGTCATATATTCTCAAGTTATTCTCAAAGAAAGAATTTAAATACTTAAACATTAAAGCATTCCAGTAGCAGAGAGTCTCTCTCACCTTTAGGAAAGGAGAAGTAGGCATGCAGTGGATGCCCTTCAGGACCAGACATTCTTGTACCAGCTAGATTTACAGCAGCAGCAGCCATAGCCAAAGCAGAAAACTAGAGAATCAACATGAGATGAGACTGCTACCTACCCCCTCATGGACAAAACAGGAGCTAAGCTAAGAGCCTTTGCCAAGTTTTTTTGGACAACTTGGAGGGGGACAGTATCAGCCAATATTGGCAGATCTGAGAACTTTGTAACACTGGCCTTATGCCACAAAGCTTAAGACTGAAGTGCTTACAAGCACATTTTGGAAGCTGTTTTGGTTGTATTCTGTTAATAATATTTTAACTTCCCCAATATGGTTCTGTGTGGTCTATGAACTATCACATTGGATTTTTGATCTAGTAAAGCAATAAAATTGCTGTTGAAATGAGTACAAAGTGGTACAGGACGATGAGGGACATATCTGACCTCAGGAGAATTGGTTTTGTGTTACTGAGGTTGTTGACGGGGACATTACCCCTTTGTAAAGTTGGTGAAGGTCAGATATGACCATCCCCAGATGGCCCTTGCTCCTTTTATATCTTGTATTTCTGAGAAATATCTAATTCACAAATAACTTCTAATGTCACCAGCAATGAGAATTCATGGATTAATACCCAGAACTAAAAAAAGTACTCCATACCTCAGAGTCCTCCTCATCTGAAAATAATCCTTTTTGAGTCTTTGTTTCTAACAAGGGCTTGACACTTTGGATGGAAGGGAGGACCACCTTTGTTGATGGAGAAACAAAAAGTCAGTAAATATGACAGACAGAAATGAGAGTTTATCAACTGACCATTCAGAAAATTGAGTCCCTGCTGTTATAAGTGTGCCAGGGAACCAGATACAAATGTGTATGAAATCACCACAAAAGAGAAATAATGGGAAAAGCAACAACAATAATAACAAGAGATATGGAAATATGGAAGACTGTTCCTTCAGAAAGCATGGACAGCTTGGGTAAAGGGAGATGATACAAGCATTGACATTATAGGTAAGAGGAGAACAATGAAAGACAAGAAAGCAAGAAGAAACAAGGAGTGATAATAGAGTATCAGCAAGCAGTACAGACCAACCGTATCATACAGCACACAAGGGATGCATATAAACACGGAGTAGAAAGAAATTCAGGACAACCAGGTTCTAAAATGGGCTTTTAGCTGAGATTGTCAGAAGAAGGTCAGAGGTTTAGAGCAAGGATGTGGCATGCTTTAGCAGTGAATTCTGCAGGATAGCAGGGGAAGGGACAGCAGCTAGAGCGCTTATGGACAGATGAGGACACATCTCATTGGCCAAACACAAGGCAATTTTAGCATCAAAAAGAATAATGATGGTAATAGGTTATAATACATGGAATAAAGAATTTAAGACCCTGTAGTCATACTAACTTATTAATGGCAAAGGTAAACAGGGTAGCTTTCTAACAGGATGATATAGTGAATAGTCATTTAACCAAGGGCTTAAATCCTAGTGGCACAAGAGACATAATGCACCTCTTGATTCAATACTACAGGAAGTACACAGCTTTTCCTAGAGGGTATTCTTGCCTAAAAGTGGTAAGTGGGAATATAATTACCAGAAATAACCAGGTGTAATGTCAGCCTAAAAGTTGGCTTTTTAGGCATTACAGTTAGCACTCTCTGGTCTCCAGTTACCTTAGGCACATGGTAACTGCAGGCACATGGTTTTGCAAATCAGTATGATCTTATAAATCACCAACAGATGTGGGATTTGGATAAGAGGAAGACTGCTTTCCTGGGGGGCAAGTCTTGGGCAAGCAAGACTTGTGGCAACAAAACTTGAGGGAGACTGGAGCAAGATCCTTGTGGAGGAGAGAGTCTAGCAGTGCTGTGGAGAAACTGTGGCAAGGTGTGACCTGAGGCTTCTTGTATTTGTGCTGGACACAGTTAAAGGTTTTTGCTGTTCTTGCCAGACGTTTAAAGGAGAAGCTTACCTAAAACTGCTCTGCGTCAAATCTTGCTGGATGATTTGGATTTGACTGTTGAACTGAAACCAGAGCCTGAATTAATTAGAGAATTGTACCCTAGAACTTGGGCTAAAATCTGGCTTGTATTGGGTGATATTCTTTGCCTCCTCCATTCTCCAATTTCCTTCCCTAATAAATCCATTTGTTAACACCACAACTCTAAGTCTATGAGTCAACAATGAATAAATGAATCCCTTGCTGCTGGTGGGGCTCTAGAGGAACCATGGGGCTGGGCTATGGGCTCTTTAACTGCTTTCTGCTCTGGGGCAGTGAGGGGCTGTGTTATTCTCACTCCCTCAGGCCCTTTCAGATAGATGCTTATGGTTCTGTGCCCCATGTCCCGTTTTCTCCTCTGTAGACATCAGGTGAATTCAGTAGTGAGATATGCTAAAGGAAAACTGGCTTGCCATGAACAGGAAACAAAAGATGAAGGAATGTGGTTTCAGATGAAAAGGAGATTAGAGATGTAGGGCTGCTCCACGAACAAACACTACTTTGTTTCTGTAACAAGCAGGGAAACTAGAATACAACTAAATATTATATAATGTTAAATCAGCATTACATTCCTGAGGTGTGATTTTAAAAAGACAGTTTGGAAACAAATGCAATAATTTAAATATGGACTAGATATGCAGTAAAGTCTACTACCAAATTAGTGTTAATTTCCCTGTTGTGGGAGTCTTTTTTTAAAAGAGATATTTGATGTAACATCCAGGTGTTACATGACACAATTAACACAACTTTAAATATTTTAGGGAAAATGTGCATACTTAGAAAAGGCAAAATGTTACCTGTTGAGTCTAGGTTCTAGCTATATGGGTGTATATTTCAACTTTCCATGTGAGAAGTTTTTTACAATAAATTTTAAAATAAACAATACTTCCCTTCACAGTTCCAGATGAATTGTCAAGATATCCCCAGTTCACATTTCTGTGTTCGATTTGCACTCCTGCTCACCTTTTTGTCTGCTCTAGCTTTATTTTCATCTATGTGAGTCACAGCAGCTTCTGGTAAAGCTTTTTCCTTAAAAAGATCTCCTTCTTCATCATCAACGATATCAGCAGTAGATTTGACCTTGTCTTTAAAAAAATACATGAAATAAAATTACAGCAAGATAAAAAAAAAACCACCTTTCCATAAAATTCAAGATTAAAAAAATTTTTCACTCCTTAGTAGAAAAGAGTTGTACTGGCAACTCAAAGGTATATGGTTTGAATTTACTAGATGCTCTGTAGGAGAAAGATGGACCATGTCCTTCTATGCAATTTACAGCCTCAAACTCCTGGAGGGTCAGTTGTAAATAACAACAAAGAAATAAATAGAAAAGTTATATATTTCTTGATGAGTTATGAAAAAATACTAAATGGAACTCAACCTTCACCAACTTTACAAAGGGGTAATGTCCCCGTCAACAACCTCAGTAACACAAAACCAAAAAATGCATTTCCAATGGAAATTTTCCAAGAACATACAAACAGTTCAGATAAAATCCAGGACATACAGTGTAGCCCTCTAATTGACACATTTATCTAAGCAACATCAATCTATTGCTTAAGATAGCTTGGACTCAATTAACCTATAGACAGAAAAATATTACATTTAAGGCCATGAAGTTCATTATTCTAGGAGCGTCTCTCAAGTGACACTTAAAAGTCAGAGTATGTTGTTGTTGTTAAGTGTTAATAGCGACCCTATGAAGGAGAGTACTCAACGCTTGGGTGTCTCTCATCCTCTCTCCAGGTTCACAGAGTTTCCAGAGGCAAGCTATTACGGAAGTGGATGCCATTCCTCCTTCCAGTCAGAGTACAGAGAACCATATAAAAGTAAATAATAATATTTCCCTTTAATGATATCCCTATTAAACCAAGAAAATCATCACTAACAGTCTGATATGTTGTTGCGTGCTTTTGAGTAGGAACTGACTAATAGCTGACCCTCGAGAGAATTTTCAGAGGTTTTATACTGAATGAGAGGAGATTGTCCAAATTTCTCCCAAGGAGCAGCTGGAAGATTAAAACAGTATGCGTTAGGGTTGACAGCACAACTTCTTACCTTTAGGACATCAAAGCTCCCTAACAATCTCATATACATTCCTTTTATTTCCACAGATGATGTTCTCAGATATTAATTTCAGTTATTCACAAATGAAAAACATAATTTGAACAATGCAGTCTCCAATTTGCAGTTTTCAATTAATGTACCCTGGGACAGCTTTCCACACCAACATAGACAGAAATAATAAATTACCTCACTGATTACATGGGTAGCTTCCAACTTTCATGATTACAAGCACAGCTGCACTGAACGAGGTGTGTATCATTCAAACAACAGCACTGTCTCATTAATGATCCAAGAGACTAATAGTTGGCAAAGGAAATGACATCAACTTACTCTAAGTCAGCTCGCAGTGATATCTATATTATAAATTATTTCAGTCACTATGACCATTACTTTGATATCAGTTCAGTCTGCATGTTTTTGCTCTCAGATGTTAATGAGTTGGCTCTAAATTACAGTGATTCTACCTGTAACAGAATACTAACAAATCCTTCACCAGAGTCAAAATCTCTGCTGTACGGGAAGCCCATTGTTGCAACCACTGTTGTCAATCCATTTCCTTGAAGTTCTTCCTCACCTTGGCTGGCTGACCTTTGTACTTTACCTAAGTATGACCCCTCTGATCACAAACCCACATAATATAAAAATGTCTTACAATCTCACTTCAAAGGAGCATTCTGGTTATATTTCTTCCAAGATAGGTATGCTTGTTCTTTTGGCAGTCCATGGTATAATCAATATTCTTTACCATATGATTCTGTGGCATCAATTTTTCTTTATTTTTTTGTCTTTAGTCTTTTTTTTTGGTTGTCCAACTTTCACATATGTATGTTGTTATGTGTTGTGAAATCAAAACCAACTCATACCTGACCCTCCAGTGGTTATTTAGAGGCAGTAAAATACATGGGAGGAGACTACCCATCTTTCTGAAAAGCTGGTGGATTCAAACCATGTACCCGTGGGCTGATAGCACATCCTCTTAACCACGAGGTCACCAGTTGCTGTTATTATTATATGACATCGAGTTGCCTGTGATGCATAGTGACCCTATGCACATAGCTCTAAAACCTGTCCTATTCTGAGCTCCCATGTATAAGAGGTGATTGAAAATATTATGGCTTGGGTGAGGTACACCTTAGACCTCAAACTGACAGCCTTTTTCTCTAGCACTTTAAAGAGGTCTTTGGCAGCAGATTTGCCCAGTGCAATATGTCCTTTGATTTCATGACTGCTGCTACCATGGATGCTAATTGTGGATCTGAATAAAATGAAATCACTGGCAATTTTAATTTTCTCCATTTACCAGGATGTTCTTTATTGGTCTGGTTGTGAGATTTGTTTAATGTCAATGTCACCTATAATGAAGGTGATAGTCTTAAGCCTTTTTCAGTAAGTGCTTCAAGTCTTCATTATATACAAAGATGTCATCTGTGTATGGCAGACTGCCAATCCTACTGGCTATAAGTAAATTCACGCTTCATAATTTTTTAAAAAGGTATTTGCAATGCATAAGTTTTTGATCTTACAAAATTCTATCATGAGGTCTCCAGCCTCATTTCTAAAATCAAAGCCATTTTCCAACCACCAATCCTTCTTGTTTCCAATTTTTGCAATTCAATCATCAATTATTAAGTGCATGCTGATTGCACGTTTCCTCACTTTCAGACTGCAGAATTTGGTACACATTCCCAATTTCTTCACCTTTGGCTTTGTTGTTTGGTATATAAATCTGAACAGTAGTCATTTTAGCAGGTTTTCCTTGTATGTATATAGATATTAATCATAAAATCACTGACAACATACTTCAGGATAGATTTTGAACTGTTTTCTTTGAATATGAACATTGAATAAGGCCATTCCTCTTGAATATGTGATTCCTAACATAGTAGACTATAAGACTGTCTGACTGAAAATCACCAAGACCAATCTATTTGAGCTCACTAATGCTTAAGATATAGAACTTTATCTGTTCCATTTAATTTCTCAAAATTCCAATTTTTATTATTATTCATTTTAATGAAAATTTACAGAGATTTTGGATTTCCATTCATTCATTGTTGCACTTTTCTCCCTGCCCACCCCTCCCCTCCTGTTCATTCCTCTCTTTGAAAAGCGATATATGATAGGGTATTATGGTTATCATAGGAGTCCAGAATTAAGAGTTGCATAGTGGAGTGCACTCGGAGCTGGGGGATTGTATACCAATGAAGGAGTTTTTCTGTTGCTTTTCAAAGAGAGGAGTGAACTGGGAGGATGAGGGGGCAGGGAGAAAAGTGCAACAATGAATGAATGGAAATCCAAAATCTCTGTAAATGTTCATTAAAATTAATAAAATAAAATTAAATAAATAAATGAAATTAGGAGGTGAAAAAATACCTCACCAAACTCTAGGAAAGGACATTTTGTTTGGGGCAATGGAGAGTCAGTGAAAATGAGAAACCCTCCAAGAGATTGATTTGTCATAATAGCCATAACAATGGGCTCAAATATACCCATGGTCATGACAATGGTTCAGATTTGCCAAGGTTTCATTTTAATGTATGTAAAATCATTGCATCGGACAGAGCTGATTGGATGTTAACTGACAACAAATAACAACAACCTAGATATTTTAGTAAACAGATTTTTTTCTCTTAAAAAAAAAAGAAAAGAAAATTTCTTTCATTGTCATACTATTTCTCCCCCCAAGTCCAATCCACTACGTAGCCTTCGTTCTGGACTCCTGTCATGACAATAATACCTAATCATATATACCTTTTAAACAGTTCTCTCTCTCATCTGTTTCAATGCAGTATATATAATTTATCCTATCTTTCTCAGTCTCCCCCCATCCCCTAAGTCAGTCCCGTTTTATGGTTTATACAGTAATACTATGCAATATTTGTCTTTTTGTGACTGAGATATTTCACTCAGCATACTGTCCTCCAGGGACATCCATTTTGAATAATATTTCATGAGTTCCTTGTTTTTCAAGGCAGCGTAGTATTCCATTGTGTGACTATACCACAGCTTCTCTATCCATTTGATTGTTGATGGGCACTTAGGTTGTTTCCAACTCTTTGCTATTGTGAACAAAGCCGCAATAAACATGGGTTTATTTATGCATATATCTGCTTGGGTGGTGGTTATGGTTTCTTTGGGATATATTCCAAGTAGTGGAATTGGTGGGTCAAATGGTGGATATTTTCAGCTGTTTCTCTTCATTTTGAGTCATGGCACACCAGAAAATGCAGGTTGTTCATATAGCTGCATTCCAACCCCTTTAGTAAGGCAGACTCTCCTCTGAGGAGGCAAATCTTCCCCTTGTCATATTTTAACTGCCTTCCAACTTGGGGGCCTCATCTTCTGGTACTTTTATCAGATAATGTTCTGCTATTATTCATAAGGTTTTCAAGGGCCAATTATTTCACAAGTGGATGATCAGTCCTGCTTCCTATTCTGCCTGAATCTGAAAGCTGCACTGTCCACCACTGGTGACTCTAGTATATTTAAAATATCAGTGCATAGCTTCTAGCATCACAACAACCACTGTTTGACAAACTGACACATGTCAGTCTGCACTGATCTGGAGATACTGAGCTTTACACCTTCTAAAAGAACTAGCTGTTTAGTATTATGTTCTAAACTTGCCACAGAAAAGAAAAAGGAATTCACATATTTTGTTTCTTAATGCATTCTAGTTTTGCATAGTTCTCATGAAGAAACTTTCACCAAGTTTCTGAAATGTGTGTGCAGCTCAGTGACCTACTCTCTTCTGTAATGGCACCCAGTGACCCAGTCACATAGAAATGTTCCTGCTACAAGTGTGGTCCACAAGACCAGTGCCCCGCAGCACCTGGTAGGTGGTTAGGGATGAAGAATCTCAGGTACCATACCATGTCAGATTTGTCAAATTAGAATTTTGTACAGATGTGACAGCACATTAGAAGACCTTAATTAATTTTGAGGGGGAAAATGAAGAGCATTGAAGTGGACAAGTGGTGGCCAAGTATACCATGTGAGGATATACCCCAGGACACTTGGGTAGACTGAAGAGAAACTGAGGACTAAATAGCTAGCATGTAACTTAATAAAGACTGCTAGAAGAAAGCATGGCTGAATATTCCTCTGTAATTCCAAAAGTATGAACTACAATTCCTGAGCAGAAATTATAGGGGAATAGATTTCCAGTTTCTCCAGGAAAGGTGATCCTAGTAATTAGTTTCTAAAGCTGAAAAATTGGTTCACAAAACAAGAGACCTCCACCATGGTGATTAGAGGGCTCCATTACAAGAATGCTTGAGGAAGGGCTGTGTCACTGCCAGAGACAGAGGTCAGAGGAGTTTCATGTCTTTCTCTCACTAAATCTCTAGACAATAACTAGATAAGATACCTAACTGAGGAGGTTTGCTGGAGGATGATGCAAAAAAGTCATCATCTTCATCATCATCATCAAAGAGTCTAGTAGGAGCTGAGAGGTATGGACTTTTCCCCGCAGTGGACAGCTCAGGCTTCAGGGGCTCTTTCAGTGATGGAACAGAGGCAGCATCCCCTGTGGGTGGAAAAACAGACAGCCACAGCTGGGAGCCAGAGTGGCTCCTAACAGCAATAACAAACATACAACATCAAAAACACCCGTTTTGCTTTAGTTCACCCACAAAGCACATTAATAAGGTTCAATTACTCCCATCTGTTACCGCTACACAAAGTCTTAAAATGGAAAATAATCTGGTCACTTTGGCATTTAAAAACTCAAGATCATTGAATTCTAGGAGACCAACAGCAAACTTCAGAGACAAATTTATTCTCCTAAGTTTTGTAGTGTCCTCTAAAGCAATCAAGTATTTAAGCCAGTACATGCAACATTTTTCTTTTAAAATGACAATACATAAATAGTTTTTAGGAAGATAACCTCTAAGCTAAGATACCTAAAAATACAGAGAGAGCTCCTGCTGGGATTTTCTTTCCAGGTTTGGAGGATGAAGATTCTAAAATGAGAGAAAATTCACAAAGAAAATTACTTCCCTTATTATACCCACTGCCCTGACATATCTGCAACAAAATACATAGCTAATATATTTGTTCCTATCCCAAACAAAGGTGACCCAACAGAGTGTGGAAACTATAAAACAATCTCACTGATTTCACATGCAAGCAAGATTTTACTGAAGATTATCCAAAAACGACTGGAACAGCACATCAGCAGAGAATTACCAGAAGTCCAGGCTGGGTTTAGAAGGGGTCGTGGTACTAGGGATATTGTAGCTGATGTTAGATGGATCTTGGCTGAAAGCAGAGAATACCAGAGGAATGTCTATCTGTGTTTCATTGACTACAAAGGCATTTGACTGTGTCGATCATAACAAACTGTGGCTGAGTCTAAGAAGAATGGGAATCTCAGAACACTTGATCGTGCTAATGCGAAACCTGTACTTGGACCAGGAGGCAGTCATCAGAACAGAGCAAGGGAACACTGCATGGTTCAAAATTGGGAAGGGCGTATGCTAGGAATACATCCTATCTCCATACCTTTTCAACCTGTATGCAGAAAACAGATTATCTGGGAGGCTGGGCTCTATGAGGAGAAATGTGGGGTCAAGATTGGTGGAAGATCTATCAACAATCTGCGTTATGCAGATGACACAACCCTGCTTCCTGAAACTGAGGAGGACCTGAAACGCTTGCTGCAGAGGGTCAGGGACTGCAGCCTCCAATATAGATTGAGGCTCAATGTCAAAAAGACAAAGATTCTCACCACTGGGCCAATTGGCAGCATCAGGATGGATGGTGAAGAAATTGAGATTGTTCACAGCTTTACTTTGCTTGGCTCCACAGTCAATACTCTTGGAACCAGTAGCGAGGAAATGAAAAGACGTATTGCCATGGGAAAGTCTGCTGTTAGGGACCTCCCCAAAGTACTGAAGAGCAATGGTGTCTCTCTAGAGACTAAGGTGTGTCTGATACAGGCCATGGTCTTTGCAATCACTTGTTATGCATCAGAGAGTTGGACAATGCCCAAGGAGGATAGAAGGAGAATTGATGCCTTTGAGCTGTGGTGCTGGAGAAGAGTATTGAGAGAACCATGGACTGCTAGGAAAACAAACAAATTCGTCCTGGAAAGGGTTAAACCGGGTAGCTTCGTGGAGGCAAGAATTCTGAGGCTCCGTCTAACATACTTTGGACATGTTGTAAAGAGAGACCAATCCTTGGAGAAGGACACCATGCTTGGTAGGGTGGAGGGACGGTGCAGGAGGGGAAGGTCCTCTATGAGGTGCAATGATTCAGTGACTGGGATAATCGGGATGGGAGTGTCAGAGACAGTGCGATTGGCACAGGACAGAGCAGAGTTTAGGGCTGTTGTACATAGGGTCGCCACGAGTCACAAGCGACTCGACGGCACATAACTACAACAACAATATAAAACTTTTAAAATTAATTTTTCCTAAGCAAGACTTTAAAAATACTCAATGACTTTCTTTTTTATGGCTGTAATGATGCTGTTTCCTGTGAATAACAGCATCCACACTGTGCATCCCAGAGTCCCCTGTGACTCTGGTCAAAAAAAGAGCAGGGGCTGGGGTCAAGATATATATGGGAAAGCCAGGGGACAATAATCAGAGCTCCTAAAATGAATTCTCATGCTATTCATCTAATTTATGAAAAAAAATGAACAAATAGAAAAGAACAGCATAAAAAGATGCAACACCATAATTAACTGAAAACATCAACAGTCAAGAGAGAAACTAATTACTGATGTAAAAAAACCTCAAAACACAAACAGGATGCCAGTCAAGTCTGTCAGTATCATCACAAACATGATGACAAACCGATTCAAAGTGGTCAAAACTCTGACAATACATGACAGGAGTCCAGAGAGAAGGCTGCATAGTGGAGTAGACCTGGGGGAGGGTTTGTAAAACAATGAAAGAATTTTTCTTTTACTTTCCAAGAGGGTAGTGTGCTAGGGGGGAGGGTTGGGAGGGGAGAAAAGTGCAACAATGAATGAATGGAAACCAAAGTCTCTGTAAATTTTCATTGAAATTAATAATAAATTAAAAAAATCAAGAAAGATGAAATTATATATATTTATATTTATATTAAAAAACCAACTCTGACAATACACGGCCTGGGACATAGCCTCACTTAAGATAATCACTTCTCAATGCCTAACCACAAATCTAAAGTAAAAAACCTACAGATCTAACAGAATACAATCTCTAGGGAGTTATATATCTTTTTAAAAGTGGTATTAAAAATTTCACAGGTGATTTTAATGTATAGCCAATGTTTTGGATTGAACTGGTCCTCCAAAAGAGAGAACACATACAAATCCCTGTACTTATGCTTAGAAATGGGAGCCTTTTTTGTCTGGAATCAGTTATGTTATACGATGTCATACCAGGGTAGACAGAGTGAACCCCAACTGTAATCTCTTTTGAGTAGTGTTTTAAAAAGAGAAAATGAGTTATAAACAGATGGACAGACATCTGAACAAACAGAACAGAACAGTATAAAACGTGAGACACTATAATTACCAGAAAACACCAACAGCCAAGAGAGAAACTAGTTACTGATGTAAAAAACATCAAAATACACCTATACCAGCACCTATTATTATTCTGCTATTATTATAGCAGAAGGATGTCAAGAATTCCAGTGGCTACCAGAAATAAGAAAAGGGACACAGGAAAGTTCCTCTCTCAAAGGCACTAAAAGAAACCAAGGTGATGGAGACAGAGATTTAGACATGTAGCCTCTAGAATTGTAATATAGTAAAATTCTGTTCTTCTACAGCCACCTACTTTGTGCTGTTTTGTTAGGCATCCCTAGCATAGGGGATCTAGTTTAGGGCCTTAATGATCTCTGTATCATGCAGAATTTTATAAGTGCTTATTTGAATTAAAAGTAATTACATTCAAATATTCTCAACACTACTATAGAATACTTTTCCTGTCAGGCTGTGATGTGGTGTTACAGTTGGCACTTTTTTATGAGTAAAATATGAATGAGTAAAAATGAACTGTTTTTAACCAAATCAAGGAGGGAAAAAACACAACTTCCTTCCTACCTAACAAAGAAGATGTAAGACAGAATTATATTTTATTTTCTGTACTTGTTACGTGTCTGTGACTCAAAGCAACCCTATGTACAACAGTTCTGAATCCTCTCTTTTTCTGAGCCAATCTCATTATCTCCGAAACACCTGGCCCTGTAACCCCAGACACTGTGCCAATCCAGGGTCTCCCTTTCCTGCTTTGTCCCTCCACCCTTCCAAGCATGATGTCCTTCTCCAGGGACTGATCCCTCCTGGCAATATGCCCAAAGTATGTGAAATAGAACTTCAAAATCCTTGCCTCCAAGGAGTGATTTTGTTTTACCCTCTCCAGAACAGCTAAATCCAGACATTCTGATTTCATCTAAGTTACTGATCAGATTCTGTCTTTGAGTATCCCATCTCACCCTAAGAAATACCAACCAATTTTTTTGAGCATGTACAGAAAAATAATTTATAGCAGAGGGTTGACCTTATTTGAACAAACTATCTGGGGAAGGATTAAAAGGAGACAGTGATGCCTCTTAGCCCAGAGGCTGCTCTGCAGCAGATTTCATTCGGAAGGACTGGCTATGTGTGCATTTCCGTGTGAATCTATTTCTTAGAGTTCCTCAACTCCCTTTATGAATAAACAGAAGTTCCTTGCTGCCTAATTCTCTTTATAAACCTGCAGTTCGTTCTGCTCGGACCGTGGTGTGGGATGTTTCCTGCTACTCTATGTCTCCTTTCTAGAAGCCTTCCCTCCCAGCTCCTCTCCTCTTTTAATAAATACTTTGCTTTTGTGAAAAACTGTAGTCTCCTTCTGATTATTCTTATCAGTGGAAGAAAAGGTCCTGCCCCTTTGCAAGTTAGAGAGCCTTTTTCAGGAACAAAACAACTTCAAGTGTCCCATCTCTTAGTGAGAAATGCATGCATTGAATGACAGCATCAGTCCTTCATGCTCACCTTCACAGGCAGAGTCTGGGACTTCCCGGTCCTTTGGGATTTCCGTGAAGAGGTCACTCTGTTAGGATAAGGTACATGTCACAAAATTTGAAAGCAGAAAAAAAAGGTTGGCTGCATTTAGAAAATTCTAAATAAAAGTATTCTGTGATGTTTAAAGCTACTTATCAGGAAATTAAGTCCTGTTAGAAAAACAGTTCCTAAATGAAGACTATGGTACAACTAGCCCGACAAAAAATATAAGACCATTCAGGATACAAAAAAGACAGAATAGGTAAGGTAAGAAACAATTGGCAGTGAAGTAAATTATTACCAGTTTCAAACCTCTCTACATCTAACAAGGTTCATCTGGACATAGTATTTTTTTTTTTAATTTATTTTCTTTGTGTGTACTGTCAAATCAGATCTAACAGATACAAGAGGAAATTTCCCCTCCTTCTCCAGTGGAGCATCTGATGGATCTGAACCACCTATCTCTGGGATTGCAGTGCAGCTTCTTTCCACGAGGATACCAGAGCTCCCTTGGACATAATATTTTTTTTACCCATAACTCTTAGTTCAAACTGTCCCAAATTATGTAAGCAAAAGCAACTTCTAAACAAAAAGCCACATTTTCCAAATCAGAAAACCAAAGTATAATTTTTCTCTGTGGACCCAATACCTCTAGTGACTTCTGACTCACCTCATCCTCCTCATCAAAAAGTCCCTTCCCTCCACTAAACAGGCCGCCTCTAGATCCAAAAGGGGAGAAGTCTTCATCAGTCAGCTTTGGGGGAGCAAATAAGTTATCATCTTCATCTAGGGAAAGAGAAAATAGCATGCTTCAGGTAGAGTTAAATAGGAGTCTGGAACCCAACTTCCAGGGTTTAGCCTCTAGGACAACTCCAAAATTGGCATGCAGTATATTTAGCCACACTTAACAAGAACTACTTGAGAACAATCTACTAAATTACAAACAGAATCCATTAAAAAGACCCATAATTCCCTCAAAAGAAGACTCTCTCATATTTGTAATGTCTGGTGCAAGGTGAATCTTTTAGGTAACACCCAGCATCTAGAGTTCTTTCTTTCAAACAAAGTATAAGCATTCATTTATCACATTCAAGATCCATCTTACAAAGAACTTAAGGGTAAGACAAAAGAGTTGCAGATTTGCATGGTGGTAATATAAAGGATGTTACTAGCTTATTGGGAGCAGTGATGGTTCAATGGTAGAATTCTTTCCTTTCCTGTGGAAAGGAAAACTAAGTTTGATTCCCAGCCAATGCATCTCATGCAAAGCAACACAATATGCCTATTAGTAGAAACCTGTATGTTGCTGTGCACAGCAACACAATATGCCTATCAGTAGAAACCTGTATGTTGCTATGAGCTGAACAAGTTTTAGTGGGTCTTTCAGAATAATACAGACTAGGAAGAAAGGCCTGCAATCTAATAAAAAAAAAAAAGAAAAAATTAGCCAGCAGAAAAAAACCTAAGGAATGACAAAGATCTGATCCATGAGTGCATCAGGGGGATGACTCAAGAGTGGGTAATCATTAGTTCTACCGTATACGGAGTTGTCATGAGGTATGAGGTGACTCAACAATAATTAACAACCATTATTACCTTTTACAAAAGGACTTGATATACGTTATTGAAAAAAAAGTTAGGAAATCCCTAGATCACTTCTGGAGATGCTTTTTATAAAATTTAATCATATAAATTGTTGTGTACTGTAGTGTAAGAACCGACCAATAGCTGACCCTCTGGTGGGTTTTCAGAGGCAGTTAATTGCACAGGGGAAGAATGCCATCCTTCTCAGCAGCTGGAGCAGTTGGTAGCCTTCTGGATTGCAGTGCAGCATCTTGCCACTAGGCCACCAGAAGGTCAAGGACTGCAGCCTTCAATATGGATTGTAGCTCAATATCAAGAAAACAAAGATTCTCACTACTGGGCTGATTAGCAGCAGCTTCAGTTTGCTTAGCTCCACAACCAACACTCTTGGCACCAGCAGCCAGGAAATTAAAAGACAAATTGCATTGGGAAAGTCAGCTGTCAGAGACTACTCCAAAATACTGAAGAGCAACAATGTCAGTCTAGAGACTAAGGTGCACCTGATACAGGTCATGGTCTTTGCAATCACTTGCTGTGAATCAAGAGAGCTGGGCAATGATAGAAGAATTGATATCTTTGAGCTGTGGTGTTGGAGAAGAGTATTGAATATACCATGGACTGCTAAGAGACTAAACAGATTCATCCTAGAGAGGGTGAAACCAGGATGCTCCTTGGAGGCAAGAATTCTGAAGCTTTGTTTGACATACTTTGGACATGCTGCAAGGAAGAACCAGTCCTTAGAGAGGGACTTCATGCTTGGGAAGGTGAAGGGACAAGCACAGGAGAGGAAGACGCGCGATGTGATGGACTGATTCAGTGACTGGGGTTTATGGGCGTAAGTGTGTCAGAGACTCAGAGACTGGCACAAGATAGAGCAAGATTTAGGGTTGCTGTACATAGGGTTGCAATGAGTCACAGATAACTCAAAAGCATATAATAACAACAACAACAATCACATAAATCTTTTTTTTTAAAAAAAATCACATAAATCTTTACAGGGATTTTGACTCCATACCCCTGTCCTCTGAACTCCCATAAAGCTTGGAAAAAGTGAATGGCCTCATTTCTCAGCATTCCAAGGAATAAGTCTCAGAAGAATAAGTCATATTCTCAAGTTGAGAGGCTTCTAAAACAATTAGAAACAAGGTATAAAGCCTACCGTTCAAAGCTGTCTTTTCTTTCTCTTTTAGTGTCTTCCAGGCTTTTGCATCCCCTATGGATAAGGACACAAATAGTTCATAGCTATAACAATATTTTGTCTCCTCCAAGTAGCCATCTGTTGTTGCTGTGGTTGTTATGTACTGTGGATTTAGAACTGACTCACAGGTCACCCTACAGCTGTTTTTCAGAGGCAGTAAATCACATGGGAGGAAACTGCTTATCTTTCTCCCTCTGAGACGCTGGTCAGTTTGAACCTTTGGTTTGGCAGTATAACTCCCTCCCAGTACGGTCACTAGCACTTCCTAGTAGGCAGCTAGTTAATTCTTTATTCAGATGTCTGCTACCTTCATTTCTCCTAAACTGAGAGCAGGACATTCAGCTTTGCGATCAGTTTCTTCATAACCCATCATGGAGATGATGGCAGAGTGTGAAGCATTTTATATACATTTCACAGGCATGCAATAGTGTATCTTTTCAGGAAAGCAAGCTTCACCTGAATAGCACATCCCACCAGGGTCACATGCCTAGCAGGTTTATTTCTTCTACCTTGTTAAGTCATTAGAACATACTGTATCATTTTTCTGAACTCAAAATATACGTCAGGCGTGAATATGAAACTGGGGATTCTTAATCTTTGAATCCTGGCATACTTTTGGGTATCCATGAATCACCTGAAAATGCATACTAAATGCCATGTAGATATGTACATACACATTTTTCTTAGGGGGTCTATATTATTCTATTACCAAAACCAATTGGTAAACATGCAAGCAAATCCTCTCTCCTGTTATTGTCATGGAAAAGGAAAATCTGCTCTCAGTGAAACCTTGGAGATGATTCTTTTCCTCTCACTCACCCAACCTTCATCAACTCTGCTCTGGGAGTTACCTGTTTGGCTCTCAGCTACCTGGCTGGTGGTGTTCCCTTTGATTCGAGCCACTAACTCATCAGCAAACGATGTAGGTCTACTTCCGTTCTACAAGCAGAGGATATCAAAAGAATCACTGTTTTAGTAACATAGACAAGAGCTCGCTTAACTTTTGGACACTTAATAAAACCATGAGGAATAAATACCAAGCAAAATGAACTGAGGCAAAATAAGGTTTCATTAAGGGAATTGTATGGATCCCTTGAGAAACAGGTTTCAAAAAATGTTCTTGGAAAAGGGTGATGCTGTTTCCTTACTGTTTTAATATTTCATTTTAATACTTGAAAAATTAGCCTGGAAAACTATTTAACATAAGTGTTCCAGGGAGAGAGTAGTGGGGAAAAGCCATCAGGACCTTAAAACTTCTGGAAATTATTCTATTCTCCCCCCCCCCCCATTCTTAATGAGCTCAGTGGCAAAATTTTAACATTTGAGATAAATTTGGTACGTGTAAGAAAATTTGAGGGGTTCACTGCTATTTTCAAAAGTATAAATGATGGGTGGGGAGTAAGGGCAAGTGGAAGAATCTGTTCTGGAAAAAATGCATTAGAATTTTGTAAATAAAATAGCATAATAAAAAAACTTGAGAAAAAAAAAGAGCAATAGCCTAAAAAAGTAATTTTGAACAGTAAATCCACTATATCACAATAAGTAAAAAAAAAAATGTATAAATGAGATTACAAATATGATGCCAAATGAAAAATGTAAAAGCATCACTAACTATAACAGGGATGAGTCCTAAGCACTCTTTCTAAAGCCCTGTGTAAGAATAGCAGCCACAAGCATCCTTACAGGTCGAGCACTTTGTTCAGCATCCTCAATATCATCCTCCTCCTTTTCTGAATCAGCAAAAAGGTCACAGCCATCATCATCGTCTTCTTCCTCACTCAGTTGTGCTGTGTGCTATAAAAACAAAGCATCAGATAAGACTCTTAGACACAATCATCAAGCTGAGAAACAAACACTGTAATTACTCTTTAGGTTCTTTCGTCAAAAAAAGTAGCAGCTTTAAAAAATTACTTCTATTTTAAAATAACACTAGAACAATACAAACATAAGTTGGATTTTTTTTTTCATTTTAAGAATGTAAGAACAAAATATTAAAACATTTATAATGCTTATCAATAGAAAAAGAAACTAAAGCTTATCTTGGAAAGAATGCTGAGTAACTGCTGAAAGGAATATGCTGTAACAAATAGACGTCTAAAATAGGAGAGGTGAAAACATGCATAACAGCTCTCTACAGCATGACACCTGCCCTTATACACTTGAAAAATACTATTTTTATGGATATGGATATATTGGTAAAACCAAGAAAAAGACCTGGAGACTACCATATTAGGAACCAATTAACCAGTGAAAATGTAAAGCTAGGACAAGAATGGCAGACATTGACATGTGTAATCTATATCATTTTTTTAAAAAAAATTAACATTTAAATCAAGAAACTAGGCTAGAGATATGATGCTAAATGTACTTTATTAATTAATTTAATCCTTATAATTTAGAAATCAGTTTGTTCAAGAACAAGGTAACACTAGTTCAAACACTAGTCTAACTTAAAGAGTACAAAATAATGTGCGAGTGTTTTAGAAATCATTGTTGTTGTTGTTGTTAAGTGCTGTCGAGTCGCAGGTGACTCATAGCGACCCTATGAAGGAGAGTCCTCAACGCTTGGGTGCCTTTCATCCTCTCTCCAGGTTCACAGGGTTTCCGGAGGCAAGCTATTACGGAAGTGGATGCCACTCCTCCTTCCAATTAGAAATCAATATGTTGTACTATAAATGGAGGAATGTGTGAAATACAGTGGAAAAAAACCCTTTTAATGTAAAATAACTACAATAAAATAAAATTTTAAAAAACAACCAAGTTTATCTGAAGAGTAAACTTCATGTAATAGTTTAAATTTTTTTGTGCAAAAGTATTTCTCAAGCAGGTAATTAAACTATAAAAGAAAAAACTTGAAATACCACTGTACATAGACAATGGCACAAGAAGTAGGATGTCCAATTCCAACACAGATGAACCTGCAGGATAATCAGTAAGGATAATCTGAAAAGTGGAATTTCCTTAAGAGGACAGTGTCAAGAGTCATTACGATAACTCATCACTATTCTATTTCTCAGGAAATTGTTCTACAGGAGGCAAGGGATTTTTACGTCTTAAAAAACTGACTATACTATTACCTCAAAAATAAAAAACATAAAAATAAACTATGACAGTATCATGTATCAGCATACTTAAATTTTCAAAGCAAATTACACGAAAATAGTAATACTATTTAGAATAAAATATACATATTATTTTAAAAAGATGCTCATAAAAGAGATACAAAATTAAGACCACTGTGCTAAGGCTTCACACTTTCATTTTTTCAGTGTTCTCTAATGTTACTGCCTCAAATTTTATAGTAGAAAAGGAGGATATATATGGAATAATCCAGTTACTAGGCCTTTTTAGGGCTCTGTTTTCCAATTCATTAGGCAAACTGGTAAAAAATGTACACGGTAGGAATTAACCTAAATACCTAATATATTTAAAGTTGTGTTTACAACATAAGGAAAAACCTCATTTTCTTTATCATAATTGATAAAAGTATTTATGTTCAAAAGTAATTTTAATATATATGCTACACATCTATTAACATTTAAAAATAAAGTCACATCAATGCATGAACCTTACCTGGTTTTGATCATTATCACTTTGATTGGTGAAGTCTTCATCTGACTATTTTGGGGAAGGGGAAGAGGCTTTGTCAGAACAAACAAAACAGTTTCATGTCTAATTCTCTGAAGCACATTTATGTTCAGTGGAAGAAAAGTTTTTATACTGTTTTCCACTAACCTGACATTCAAAGGTGCAGATTAGGGGGGTAATTAGCCATATTACTAAGTTGTCCCAGTTAATACATTAATTTTTTTAATTTTATTTTTTAATACATTAATTTTTTCAGCTCATTTAGACATGTACTGACTGATATATATATCATTTAGACATATACTTGTATTGACTGACAAATATTTAATTCTGAAACTGGATTTCAAGTAGCTAGTTCACACTTAATTAAATTATTCAAAGTTGGCTTGTGATCTCCCACAATTCATACTCAACTCTTTTTACTTCCTCCAAGGGAAAGGTAATAGTATCTGCTTTCGGCAATTAGGAAATGAGCAGCATTGATGGTTAAAAACAAAAGATTACACTAATGACCATCAGCTAAAGTAATTTATTTAAGAAAAAGTTAATTCTTACTGGTGGGGTTTTTGTTTAGAGGCTAGGGAACGAGTAGAGAGGCTGAGGAGTGGGGAAAAAAATTCAAGGGAGAAGTATTCATTCAAAACTATCTCCTTTCAGAACTCTCACTCTCAAGAACTCTCTTTCAGAATCTATGCCCTATGCTGAGTGAACTAACGCAGTCTCATAAGGACAAATACTGCATAAGACCATTATTGTAAAAATAGAAGGATAACTAGTAAAACACTGTATAAGACCATTCTTGTAAAACTAGAAGGATAACCAATAAAACTAATAAAACTCAGAGCAGAAGTGGGGAGAACACAGGTAGGGGTGAAACCACAGGCTACACAGTTTGGTGGGTGGAGGGAGGCAGAAAGCAAATGAGAAGGATCTGGGCAAAAAGACAGGATAATGATGGGGAAGGTCAATGGTGATTAATTTTATAAAACATAATGAATGAGGATGATTGTATGAAACACATGTGAATGAAGAACAGAGTGAAAGACAATGTATATAAATTTTATAAACAAACCAATAAAAAAAAATAATGTAAAAAAAAGTTTTGTGATCAAGGCTCATAGACCCTGAAACCTAGACCAGAGCCAGATTATGCTCGGCAATGTGAAAACACTGGAGGCTGTAGCACACTGGAATGTAAGTAGACACTCCAAGTATCCTTCTACAGTGAAAAAACAATTTTTCTAGAGAATTATTAGAACTGATGAAAGCAGTATATCCCAGGCAGAGTTGTCACCAAAATATTTATGCTGTTCCTTTCAAAAAATACTGGGAGAGAAAAGGATTTGGTTGTGAGATGGGAGGGAGGGAACAGTGAAAGGGACTTGGAGCAGTAAGGATGAAAAGAATATGACTTCAAGGGTACAGGTGGAAGCAAAACACTAGGCTCTCATCACTCTGAAAAAATTTATAAAAAAAAGATTGCTAATCCATAAATACATTATTTAGGTAGCCTGCTACCCACACCATAAATTTTCTGCCCTTTATAGCCTGACTATATAAAAAAGCCCTTACCTCCTCTTCTTTTTCTTCACTATCCACAAAACTACCACGATCACTGCCCACTGAGCCTTCTGTTCAGAAGAGAGATAAGACTGTCACCAGTAATAATAAGAAAACAATTTTACTTCCTCTTCAATATCCTAAAGCACCATACACTTGCATCACAGACATTTTGATAAACTATCTATCCTCCATGTATGCAATTAGACAGAACCTTCTTGTGGTAAAAGGAAGTCTGGTGGGACAGTGCATTACTTGCTGGTTTGCTAAACAAAACATCAGCAGTTCAAATCTATCAGCAGCTCCACAGGAGAAAGATAAGGTAGTCTGCCCCTGTTTGTATTTATAGCCTTGGAAACTCAAGAATGGTTTTGGGCTCCTAAGGTCAGGAACAGGATATGTACCATGTCTCAAAGTATCTCACCACAATATTACCAAGAAAAAGATATTTTGAGATTTTGTAAATATCTTGTTCTTCATTGAGGGATGAAAGGCCAAAAATGTATAATCTCAATCCAATTTGGAAGAAACACGAAACTGATGTAAATGGAGAAGCATTCTACAAAATAACAGCTCTGTACCTTTCAAAGATAGTAAAAAGGAAGGAAAAATCTAAAATGTATACTAGATTAAAAGACTAAATAATCTAGACTCTGATTGTAGATTGCATCCTGGATCAGAGAGAAGGGAAAGAGTGAGAAAAACTGTATGAGATGTCATGGCAAAATTTGAGCCTTAGTAACATTACTTAACAGTCAAACTTTTAGCTCACCATCCCTACATTGTGGTTATGGAAGAACTATAGTCTATTTAGAAATTCTTAAAATTATTCCTACATTATTTTTAGAAAATATAAATAGACATATTTATAGTAGTAGGGCACACTGTCTCTCCAATAGTTTTAGAAAAATATGATTAAAAATATCATGAACTAATGTGAAGTCTCAATAAATGGTGAACCTGGCCAAAGGACATAGAGGAAGAGTTCTTGGTATTATTCTTGTAATTTATGAGTTATAGTCGAGTTGATAGCGTGGAACAGCAACAACATTCCTATTATGCACTGAATACCTTCATGTAGATAATACTCAGTGGATACATGTGGAATGAATGAAGCACACACTGGTGAAGAGGGTAAGGATGCTCTGTGGTTTCCAATGCTATAGGTCCTGGCTGATGTCACCTTAATAACATACTAGTGCAATCCCATGACCAATGGAAATAAATGCTGGCGGGTCCTAAATTCTGAAGAAGTTTCAAAGAATTTTAAAAAGTTAAGATATAAAATTAAAACTAATGAAAACCTTTCATATACAAAATGAATACCTTCACTAGACAGCTCTCCAAGGCCTACATCTTCCTGTTCCATGAATAGCTTTGATCCAATTAAATAAGGTAAGGGGCGATCTATGTATAGATCCTGTGATCAAAGACAGAGGAAAAGTAAGTCATTACAGAGGTTAAAAAAGAAATGTTCCACTTGACATACTGCTTTATACAACTACCCCTAACAAGTCATACAACAACGGTGGATAATAAAAAACCTACCAGGACTGAAAGTGAAAAAAGAAAAGAAAAAAATTACTGATTTAGTATATGAGCTGCCAAAGTCAGCACAAAATTTCATTGATTTTTTTTTAAGTGAAATCCTTGAAAAAGATAGTGAAGTACAGCAGAGCAAACAGAATCTCTCTTTCTAGGTGCTCAACAGTGTCTACAAAAATTGCAAACCCTTACCAGTGGTTACCAGCCAGGAAAGGAGTATAACCTCATACTAAAGAGTTCAGAAGGAGGATCAAGAAAAGAAACAAAATTCTAGTGAGTTTTAATATGAGTTAAATACCACTTTCCTTTACTGCTGGTAAGCCAAAGAAAAAGTGAGGATCTTCAACAATAATCCTAATATTGCAGAGAAGAGGTAATAAATCATCAGGTTGTTTTTATATAACTGGGAGCCCTGGTGGCTCAGTAGTTCAGTAGTTGCCTGCTAACTAAGAGGCCAGCAGTTTGAACCCACCAACCATTATGCAGGAGAGAGATGTGATAATCAGAAACCCCATGTGATGGTTCTATTCTATCCAATAGGGTCACTAGGAGTTGGAATTTAACCAACAGGAGTGTTGCTTTTTTTAAATGATCATGAGAAGGTATTGCTACTATCACTGACATTGCACTTCAGGGCAGAGCTTGAAAAGTTTCATTTTGATGATGATCAAGACACCATTCTTTCTTCAATTTGTCATTTTTTGACACAGTAGATTATGATTGTTTCAAAATAGGCAAGACAAGTCCATTTCAGCTCATTAATTTCCAAAGATATCAATCTTTAAACATGCTACTCATTTTTCACAACTTCCTTCCAATTGTCCTAGATTCATAATACATTCTCTATTCTAAGCATTAACAAATGTTTGCAGCTATTTCTCCTCCTTTTGAGTCTTGCCACATCAGCAAATGAAGGTCTTAAAATGGCATTACGGACATCTTTAGCACTCTGGAGAAGGCCTTGACACCAGATTTTCCCAGTGTAACATGTCATGTCTTTTGATTTCTTGATGGCTTTTAACATGAGTATCTGAATGTAGATCCAAATAAAATGAACTCATAGGCAGCTTCAATCTCTTCTCCATTTTAATGTTGCCTGCTGGTCCAGTGGTGAGGACTTTTGTTTTCTCAATGTTGAGATAAAATCCATACAGAAGGCTACAGTCTGATCTTCTGCAACAAGCATTTCCAGTCCTTCTTGTCATCTGCAGAACACAGGATGTTGATAAGTCTTTCCTCCAATTCTGATGCTGCATTCTTCTTCATCAAGTCTAGTTTCACATATGATTTGTTCAGCATACAGATTGAACAGGTATGGAGATATAACTCTGATGAACATTTGTCTTGATTGTACACCAGGCAGTGTTCCCTTGTTCTGTTATGAAAAGTGGCTCTTTGTATAGGTATATGGATTTCTCATAAATAAAATTAAGTGTTCTAGTATTCTCATTCTTTTCATATCAGCCATAATTGATTAAGCTCCACACAGTCACATGCCTTTGCATAACCAATAGAACACCTAAACAAACAAAACACATTCTGGGTATTCAATGCTTTTAGCCTAGATCTGTCTGGCAGCAACAGTAATATCCCTTGTGCCACAGCCTCTTCTAAATTAAGCTTGAATTTCTGGACATTTTCTGGTGATGCACTGTTCTAGCCATTTTTTAATACTCTTCAGCATGATTTTACTGGTATGTGAGATTAATGATGTTGCTCAATAATTTCCACATTCTTTTGGATCACCTTTTGTGGGGATGGAAATAATCCTCCACTGGGTTTCTCCATTGTAAAGTTTCACATGAGGAGATTGCCCATCTTTCAACTGTGTAGCAGTTGATGATGTCAAACCTCAGTCCACTTAGTAGCATGTCATGTAGCACATTATACAACCACAGCTCCTATCAACACCTAATAGGTAACAACAATAATAGAGTGGGGTATAGAGTGTTTTACCTTTGGCTCAAGAATCAGTTCTACCCGCTCATTAGCATCCTCCTCCTCAGAATCTGAATTTCCTGCTTTGATATCAAGCTGCTCAAATGCACTGTCCAATACTTGTAAACCATAGTTTACGGCCTCCTGGACTTTAGAAATCAGATCTACTTCTTTCTGTTCCCGGGTTTTCTCCTAAATTAAAAAAAAAAAAATTTAAAAATTTTACACACAGTAATGAATATATATGTATGTGTGTGTGTATATATACATATATATGCATACTTTTTTCTTATTTGTATGTTTCTAGTATAGTATAAACATTCAATATATTGATATTGTTGTTGTTTTCTACTGTAGAGTCAGAACTGACAAATAGCTGACCCTTTGGTAAGTTTTCAGAGGCAGTTAATCACATGGGAGAAGACTGTTCATCCTTCTCCCACACAGCAGTTGATGGCTTTGAACCACCTGCCTTTGGGATTGCATCGCAGCTTCTTGCCACTAGGCCACCATACTGATATTACCCCAATAAAATACTGTTTCCTCTAAAACCTATCATGTTCAAAAAATCATAATTAAAAATATTAATGACAGAATCTACTGAACACCTTGACATGACATCAACGCCACATCAGATTAAATCCCATCACTGCCACTTACTTGACAAGTTTAAACTACCCAAAAGGTCTTTGATCTTCAAGTTCATCCTCTAAAACCAGAATTACAGCTATTGGGTGATGATGAACCATTTGACAACTTATAGATAAGTACTTCAACAATGAAGAGCTGAGTCTAAGTGACACTTCACTTCCCTATTTCTGGAGGAACAAGGGCCTAGGTAATCACTTTCACTATGATAAATCCCACTCACTGATTACTGGTCCTTTGATAATTGCAGCAATGAAGACTCAGAAAAAAAAATACTCTATTCAGAAATGTCATTTTCCAATTACAATTAAAAAGCAAAACAGGTCTCCTCTATTATCTCCTTTCCAGGGAAGAAGGATGTCCTGTTCCTCTGGGATATACCTTTTTAAATAAATCTATATTGTTTAGTTTAAAAAAAATCCAACAAAAAACAAACAACCAAAAAGATGGACAAATACAAAAATCTTATTGTTTCATACCCAGAGAGGTCAGAGAGACCCAGTTTCATCTCTAATCTATCTTATATATCATGTTAGGACAATGCTCCTCCTTTCCCCCCCAGAAAAAGTCTATATACATCATCAACAGCTGAAAATATTCCAGACTTTCCCTTGCTTTAATTCCAGTTCTTAATGACAGTCCCCTCACAGAAAAAGTGTGTGAGTAGACAAAGACTGAAAAAAATATTAAGGGTCATTTTTTCCTTGTCCAAATATTTGAGAAGTTGATACACAGCTACATATCCATCCACCCCAAAGATGAGGCTGCTATGCAAAAAATGGAGGATTCATTACATAAACTCTGAATTTTTCATTATGCAACTGTCGAATCAGACAAGCTGACACATATAAGCTCACTGTCAGTGTGGAACCAATGGAACCTCTGGATCCATTCTATCAGATGTATACTGTTAATGTAAAAAAAGTTAAATGGCAGATTTTTTATTACTGTTATAAATGTAAAATGTACATAAACATAGCTAGTAAGTGAGAAGTAGAGGCAGAAGGAATTAAACAAAATATAATGCTATTTTGACACCAAAGGGGGAAATCTTACAAATGTTTTACCATTTTTACCTAAAGTATAAAGAAGTCTTTTAACCTAAAACTTAGCCACGTTTTATTGTTGGGTTTCAGTGTTTCCCCCCCACTCTAGTATACCTGGTTCTGAATGAAATAACTAGTATGTACTAGATCTCTAAAATATGTCAAAGAAATAGAGTAATTTTTAAAAATAGTTTACTAAAAGCATAACACTTTAAATTCAGATCCTAACACAGTGTAGCCAAAATATACAATTTTTTAAAATGTTATACATAAACAGCAAATCTCTATGTGCTCTCTAAAAAGAAATTAACTTAAAAGACTAGGAATAGAGAAACATGCAGTTGGTTTCCAATATCCCTTTTCAGTATCAAAGCTTTGAACATAATAAATTATTACAGAAAAAACACCAACTATTTGAAATTATTTCTGTTTTTAGAGTAAAATGGAGCTATTCTACCACAAGCTCTGAGAATCTTGCCCAGATTGCAAGCCTCGGGGCAGGCTCTAGATCAGTAGCTCAGTGGGGCTGTACTTCTGAAATGTTCACTGTACATCCTATATGTATCCTCAATACAAACACATCCTGTGGCATTCAGGAGGTATTCAAATGTATACAGACTAAAGAATTATTTACTTATTATAATTTAATCTTGTAGGAATAATAAGAATCAAAGCAGATGTGAATGAATGTTGTTGTTGCTGTTTCTGTGCTGGCAAGTCGCTTGCAACTTATAGTGACCCTATGTACAACAGACCTAAACTCTGTCCTGTGCCAATCTCACTGTCTCCGACACACCCATCGCAATTACCCGACTCACTGAATCAATCCACCTCATAGAGGGCCTTCCCCTCCTGTGCCTGCCCTCCACCCTCCCAAGCATGATGTCCTTCTCCAAGGACCGGTCTCTCCTTAGAACATGACCAAAGTATGTCAGATGAAGCCTCAGAATCCTTGCCTCCAAGGAGCAGCCCAGTTTAACCCTCTCCAGGATGAGTCTGTTTGTTTTCTTAGCAGTCCATGGTACCCTCAATACTCTTCTCCAGCACCACAGCTCAAAGGCATCAATTCTCCTTCTATCTTCCCTAGTCATTGTCCAACTCTCTGACGCGTAACAAGTGACTGCAAAGACCATGGACTGTATCAGACGCACCTTAGTCCCCAGAGAGATACCACAGAACTTCAGTACTTTTGAGAGGTCCCTAACAGCAGACTTTCCCTTAGATCTTTTAATTTCCTGGCTGCTGGTGCCAAGAGTGCTGACTGTGGAGCCAAGCAGACTAAAGTTGTGAACAATCTCAATCTCTTCACCATCCATACTGATGTTGCCAATTGGTCCAGTGGTGAGAATCTTTGTCTTCTTGATATTGAGCCTCAATCCATATTGAAGGCTACAGTCCTTGATCCTCTGCAGCAAGTGCTTAAGGGCCCCCTCAGTTTCAGCAAGCAGGGTTGTGTCATCTGCATAAATGCAAATTCCTGAAGGATCTTCCAACAATCCTGATTATCACATTTCTCCTCATAGAGCCCAGCCTCCCAGATAATCTGTTCTGCATACAGGTTGAAAAGGTATGGAGACAAGACACATCCCTGGCATATGCCCTTTCCAATTTTGAACCATGCAGTGTTTCCTTGCTCTGTTCTGACGACTGCCTCCTGGTCCAAGTATAGGTTTCGTGTTAGCACGATTAAATGTTCTGGGATTCCCATTCTTCTCAGAGTCAGCCACAGTTTGTTACGATCCACACAGTCAAATGCCTTTGCATAATCAATGAAACACAGATAGACATTCCTCTGGTATTATTCCCTGCTTTCAGCTAATATCCACCTAACATTATCTACAATTATCTCTAGTACCACAATCCCTTCTAAACCTAACCTGGATTTCTGGTAGTTCTCTGCTGATGAGCTGTTCCAGTCATTTTTGGATAATCTTCAGTAGAATCTTGTTTGCATGTGAAATCAATGATATGGTTCTATAGTTTCCACACTCTGTTGGGTCACCCTTCTTGAATGAATAGAGAAAAAGAATCTTACAAGGCCAGTATTGAGATTTCCTTCCAAATGTTACTGGACTCCCAGATTAACTATTTAGATGGCTGGTGAAATTCTATTAAGTCACATAACAGGCTTAGCTATACAGTTCCGAAAAAATGACTAAAAAAAGCTTCTGTATTTCACTCTATTCCACAAGCCAAGAAATCACAATCAAGATGCAGAAGGCCTGCTTATGGCCTGAGAAGCAACAGAGGTTTTCTAGTGTTTAAGGAGCAGCTATAAAAACATATAAAGAGACCCATGTGGCTGATAAAACCAAAAATACACACTAATTAGCATTTTACAGGGGGGAAAATGGCAACATCTACTTTATCTACCCACTGGTGGTCTAGTTGGTAAGGAGTTGTGCTATTAATCTACCAGGTGCTCTATGGGAGAAGACTGGCAATCTCCTCTCATGTGATTTCATGTCTCTGAAAATCTGCTGGAGGGTTGGCTATGAGTTAGTTCCACCTTCATGTTCCTGAACAACAACTCATAAGCCAGGATTTAGGGATTTCACCTACATACTTTGTTGTTATATGCTGTTGAGTTGCTTGTGACTCATAGAGTCCCTATGTACAACAGCTCTTAAATTCTACTGTGTCCTGTGCCAATCGCACTGTCTCCGACACACCCACCCAATTACCCCAGTCACTGAATCAATCCACCTCATCAAGGGTCTTCCCCTCCTGCACTGTGTATCCACCTTCCCAAGCATGACATCCCTCTCCAAGGACTGGTCCCTCCTTACAACATGTCCAAAGTATGTCACACAAAGCATCAGAATCTTTGCCTCAAAGGAGCAGCTTGGTTTAACCCTCTCTAGGATGAACCTGTTCATTTTTTAGCAGTCCATGGTACATTAAATAGTCTTCTCCAGCACAAGTCAAAGGCTTCAATTTTCCTTCTATCCTCCCTAGTCATTGTCCAACTCTCTGATGCATAACAAGTGATTGCAAAGGCCATGGCCTATATCAGGCACACCTAAGTCTCCAGAGTGACACCATTGCTCTTCAGTACCCTGGAGAGGTCCCTAACAGCAGACTTTCCCATCACAAAACGTCTTTTAATTTCCTGGCTGCTGGTGCCAAGAGTGTTGACCGTGGAGCCAAGCAAACTAAATCAGTGAACAATCTCAATCTCTTCACCATCCATCCTGATGCTGCCAATTGATCCAGTGGTAAGAATCTTTGTCTTCTTGATGTCACTGTTGTTACATGCCATCGAGTTGCTTGTGACTCATAGCGACCCTATGTACAAGAGCCCTAAATGCTGTTCTATCCTGTGCAAACCTTGCCATCTCAGACACACTCATTCCCACCTATCCTATCCAATCACAAAATCGATCTAGGGTCTCATCTAGGGTCTTCCTCTCATCTAGGGTCTTCCTCTCCTGTGCCATCCCTCCACTCTCCCAAACGTGATGTCCTTTTCTAAGGACCAATCCCTCCTTGCAACATGCCCAACGTATGTCAGATGAAGCTTCAGAATCCTTGACTCCAAAGAACATTCCAGCTTCACCCTTTCCAGGACAAACCTGTCTGTTCTCCTAGCAGTCCATGATATATTCAACACTCTTCTCCAGAACCACAGCTCAAAGGCATCAATTCTCAATATTGAGCCTTAATTCATATTGAAGGGTGCAATCCTTGACCCTCTGTAGCAAGCGCTTCAGGTCCTCCTCAGTTTCAGCAAGCAAGGTTATGTCATCTGCATAATGCAGATTAGTAATGAATCTTCCACCAATCCTGATGCCACACTTCTCCTCATAGAGCCCAGCCTCCCGGATAATCTGTTCTGCATACAGGTCGAAAAGGTATGGAGATAGGATACATGCCTGGCGTACGCACTTCCCAATCTTGAACCATGCAGTGCTTCCTTGCTCTGTTCTGATGAGCCTCTTGGTCCAAGTGTAGGTTCTGCATTAGCACGATCAAGTGTTCTGGGATTCCCATTCTCCTCAGAGTCAGCCAGTTTGTTATGACCCACACAGTCAAATGCCTTTGCATTATTAATGAAACACAGATAGACATTCCTCTGGTGTTCCCTGCTTTCAGCTAAGATCTATCTAATATTAGCTACAATATCTCTAGTACCACGAGCCCTTCTAAACCTAACCTGGACTTCTGGCAGTTCTCTGCTGATGTGCTGTTCCAGTCATTTTTGGATAATCTTCAGTAGAATCTTGCTTGCATGTGATATCAATGATATTGTCCTATAATTTCCACTCTCTGTTGGGTCACCTTTCTTTGCAATAGAAACAAATACAGATCTCTTTCAGTCAGCTGGCCAAGTGGTTCTCCACATTTCTTGGCACAACTTGGTGAGCACATCCAGGGCTGTATCTTTTAGTTGAAATACATCAATTGGTATACCATCTATTCCTGGTACTTTATTTTTTTGCTATTACCTTCAAACCAGCTTGAACTTCCTTCATCACCATAGGCTCTTGCTCATATGGTGTTTCATTAAATTCTTCTGTGTCTGCCAATTCCTTTCAATACAGTGACTCTGTAGACTCTTTCCATCTTCTTTTAATACTTCCTCGATCATTTAATATTCTGCCAAAAGCATCCTTAATTATAGAAACTAGAGGTTTGAATTGTTCTTCAGTTTCCTGAGCTTAAGAAATGCTGAGTGAGTTTGGCTCTTTTGATTTTCTGACTCCAGCTCCTTGCACATTTCATTGTAATATTTCACTTTGTCTTCCAACACTGCCTTTTGAAATCTTCTGTTCAGCTCTTTAGTATCTTGAATTCTTCCTTATGCTTTGGCTTCTCGTCACTCCAATGCAATACTCAGAGTCTCTTCTCACATCCATTTTGGTCTTTTCTTCCTCCTCTGTCTTTGTAATGACTGTTTGTACTCTTCTTGGATGATAATCTTGATATCATCCCACAACTCATCTGCTCTGCACTCATTGGTGTTCACTGAAAGGCCTCAAACCTTTTCCTGAGATGGTTCTGAAATTCAGGTGGGACAGAATCAAGGTCATATTTGGTTCCCGTGTATATTCAGTTTCATTTTCCTTAGCTTCAGCTTGAATTTGCGTAAGAGTAGTTGATGGTATGTCCCACAATCAGCACCTGGCCAAATTTTCACAGCTGATATTGAGCTTCTCCAACGGTTCTTTCCACAGATGTAATCGATCTGATTCCTATGTATACCATCAGGTGAAGTCCATGTATATAACCTGTGTTTATGTTTCTTATAAAACATATTTGCAATGAATAAGTCAATTATATTAAACATACTACATAACATACTAAAATTATAAGTTAACTATTTAAAACATACTATATAACATACTAAAATTCAGAAGTAAACAAAAGGATGCAACTATTAGGCAGTCAGCAGCAGTTTTTCCCCTTTGCTTGACTATCCACCCACCCCAACAAAACAATACCACCTGGGCCCCAATACAGTGTTTACCCCTCCAGGTAGCATCTTAAGAGATGGGCAGAACACATTTAATCAAGAACATAAGCTGAAGGACAAATTAATACAAGTACCTGTTCTGTTTTTTCTGGTTCAGTCTTGAGTACTGGCTCTTCCACTTCTTCATCATAAACTCTCTAAATATGGAAGAAAAGTAATCTTTAAAAAGTAAAAACACAATTTTAAATAATTTTAATGTAAGACTTCCAACATCCAAAAAAGACAGAAAAATATGGAGAAAGGAATTATTATAAAATAAATTGCTAGATACACAGGTTATGGATAAATAATAGTAAACAGTGCCAGAAATTAAAAAAAAGAGAAAAATATAAAAATGTCTATAAAGTATGAAAAAATTCCAATGTCACCGCTGATCAAAGAATTGCAAAAACCAAATGGTGGCAGTTTTCTCATCTTGTTTGACCTAACACTGACTGCTGAGGAGAGAACAATAAAGGCAGGTATTTTCACAGCAGGCTACTGATCCATGTTATCAATTAGGCAACAAGAGTTTTTAATATTTTGGACACTGAAAAGAATAATAATGCCATCTATTTTCATACTTTACTTTGTGAATTTTTTATAAACTTGCCAGCTACTTGTTTTTAAAGGAGTACCAAAGTTTGAGAAACTTGTTATACGAAGTCAATATAAATCAAGAAAATGTTTTGATAGTAGAAAAATGGTATGTTTTGTACAACTTTGTGAACATATTAAAAGGCACTGATGGCATTTCAATTTCCTTTTCTAAATTGTTATTTTAAAAAAATTTTTAAAAAATTGTTATTTAAATACGTATTATATTCTAAGGCAATACAATCCCACAATGTCACTGCACCCTTCTTCTTTCCCCTCTGTCTCACTTCATTAATTCTTCTTTCTTCTCTTTCCTGACTTCTGAGTTTTATTCTTTTGATCTTCTATGACTGATTATTCTGGTTGATTATTCTAAAGAGTCTAAAGAGTTTAAGTTGCACCTCATGCTACTATCTACCTTAGACCTATCTATGAAAAAGAATTGAGCTATAGGAGTGAACTTAGTTCCAGGTTGAGCTGTACTTTAAGAGTGCATTTAAATGTAAGTAAATGATGCCTCAACATTTTTTTACAACATAAGCAAATATTTAAAAGTTCTGTACTTAAACATCAATTTTCTATCCCAACCTAAATTCCTTAAGATAATTAATTTAAGCTTGGTATGCACAGTCCAAGACATTTTCCTAGGCTACATACAGATATATGCATACATTCAGTGCTCTCTTCACTTTAAAATACAAGTGGACAGATCCTTACTATTCACATACTTTTGTAATGCTTGTTCAACCAATGCTTACTTCAATAGCAAAACAACACATATCTAGACTTGAAGCCTATACTTAGACTAACAAGCTGATGTTTGAACAGAACAAAGGTATAAAATGCATGGTTTAAGATTAAGAAAAGTGTACAACAGGGATGTATCCCTTCTTCATATCTATTCAATTTCTATGCTGAACAAATCATTACAGAAGCTCCATTGTATGAAAAAGAATATGATATCAGGATTGGAGGAAATCTCATAAGCAACCTGTATTATGCAGATCTCACAAACTTGCTTGCAGAAAGTGAAAGGGATTTGAAATATTTGCTGTATTATATGAAAGACTGTAGCCTTCACTATGGATTACATCTCAAGAGCAAGAAAATAAAACTTCAGCTCTGGACCAATAGGGAAAATCATGATTGATGAAGAAAATATTAAAATCATTAACGATTTAATCTTATTTGGATCTACAATCAACATCGACATTTACAGAGATGAGTGTTGCATTGGGAAAATCTGCTGTCAAGGACCTCGCCAAAGTGCTAAAGAGCAACGATATCAGTTTAAAGACTAAGGTGTGCCTGAGACAAGCCATGGACTTTTCGTTATTTCCCATGCACCTAAAAGCTGAACAACAAATAAGGATAACAGAAAAAGAACTGATGCCTTTGAGCTGTGGTTTTGGAGAAAGGTACAAATAACCCATGTACTGCCAAAAGAACAAGTATGTCTTGAAAGTTAAGATGGTAAAACTCACAAACTTGGGCATATTAACAGAAGGAGCTAGTGTTATGCTGGGAAAGGTGGAGGGTCAATGAGAGGAAGGCCTTCAACAAGACAGACTGACATAGTGACTGTAAAAATGAATTTAGTATATCAGAGATGATGAGGGTGGCACAGGACAGGGCAAGGTTTAGATCTGTTATTCATAAGACCACCATGAGTCACAGTGGATTTAATGTTACCTAACAATAACAACATTACTTGTAGAATCTGTATAACATCCTATGGTATAAAGTCCACCATAAGTAAGTCATTTGGTATATTCAGAGTTTCTAGTATTAAAAATAGAGACTCTGAAATCTGAAAGAACAAAGTCAGACTTTAAGTTGCAATGCTGAAAGATGCTCAGCACTAAATTGTGAATGATCCAGGAAGCAACAACAAGGAAGATGGAAGAAATATGTAGAGTAACTATTCCAAAAAGAGTTGGTTGACATAGAATCATCTCAGGAAACAGAAATGATCAAGAATCAATGGTAATGAAGGAAGAAGTTTAAGTTGCACTAAAGGCACTGGCAGAAAAATAAGGTCACAGAAATTAATGGAAAAGCAACTGAGATGTTCCAACAAACAAATGTGGCCCTGGACATGCTCACCAGGCTGTGCGAAGAAATCTAGAAGGGACAGCTCCCTAGCCAACTGAATGGAAGAGATCCAAACTTATTCCCATTCCTCAAAACAGGTGTTCCCACAGAAAGCAGAAATTATTGAACAATATCATTAATATCAAATGAAAGCAAAATATTGCTAAAGGTTATTTTTAAATGGGTAGAACAGTACATCAACACAGAGCTGCCAGAAATTCAAGATGGGTTCGGCAGAGGCTGCGGCACCAGGGATATAATTTCTCATGTCAAGATGGATGTTGGCTGAAATCAGAGAGATTAATGGAAGGATGTCTCCCTGCATTTATTGACTACGCAAAGCCATATGATTCTGTGGATCACAACAAAATAAGACAAACATTGAGAATAATGGGAATCCCAGACACTTGACTGTGCTTAAGTGAAACTTTTACTAGATCAGAGGGTGTTGTCAGAGAAACGGGAATATTGCATGGTTTAAAATCAAGAAAGGTATCTATCAGGACTGTATCCTTTCTCAATATCTATTCCATCTGTATACTGAGGAAACCATTGGAGAAGTTGGGCTTAATTCAGAAGAATGTGGAATCAGGATCAGAGGAAGACTCGTCAACAATCTACATTATGCAGATGACACAACTTGCTGGATCCAAGTGAGAACTTAAAAGTGCTTTGCTGCAGATCAAAGACTACAGCCTTCAATATGGATTACATCTCAACATCAGTAAAATAACAATCCTCACTATTAGACCAACAGGCAACACAAATGGAAACAGAAAGAAAAAGACTGAAAATGACAACGATTTCATCATACTTGGATCCACAATCAGCACCTCTGGTATCAGGAGTCCAAAAACCAAAAGATGTATTACACTAGGAAAATGTGCTGTCAGGGACCTCTCCAAAAGTGCTATAAAGAACACTGATGTTGGTTTAAATAGTAAGACAGAGACAAGTCATGGTCTTCTCAATTACTTGTTATGCTTTTGAAAGTCGGAAAATTACCAAGGACAATAGGAGAATTGATTCCTTTGAGCTGTGGCAGAGAAGAGTATTAAAAATCCCATAAACTGCCAAAAGAACAAATAGACATGTCTTGGAGAAACCAGGATGCTCCTTGGAGTCAAGTACGGTGAAGCTTCATCTCATTTATTTTGGGAATGTTGTTAGGAGGGACCAATCCTTAGAGAAGGACCTTAAGCTGGGAAAGGATATAAATATAAATATAAATGGATACAATGACTGTAACAATGGGCTTAACTATACTTGAGATAATGAGAATGACACAGGATAGGGCTAGGTTTAGAGCCATTGTTCATAAGATTCCTATGGGTTGCAATTGACTCAAAAGCACATAATAACAACAATAGCAAATATACACATGTGCATATCCTTAAGTATTAGTTATTTTATTTGTACAGACTTCCCCAAAGTATTATTGCTAAATCAGAGAACACATTAGTTTCTTCACCTTGATAGCTATTCTAGATGACAATCCACAAATGCAGAGGAACACACACTGTCAACAGCATATTTAAGTGCCCATTCTCCAAGCCAATGCCAGTGACAGATTTTTTTTTCCAGTGACAGATTTTATTCACCTTTCTAAAACACCTGACAATTTGACAGAGACCAACATAATTTTTAAAGTTTGCATCTTTTAACTTATTTCTTAATTCTATTTCTTGAAGCCTTCAAAGAAAAGCAATCATAAATACAGACAATAAAATCATCACACAACCTTGCTTGCTGAAACTGAGGAGGACCTCATGCACTTGCTGCGAAGGGTCAAGGACTGCAGCCTTCAGTATGGACTAAGGCTCAACGTCAAGA